CCCCAAAACCCCAAAACCCCATGAATCTAAATTACTTAAGAAGTACATGAAGTTAAATAAAGTTTAAAAGTAAAAAATGAGTGTTCCTCGGATATAATAAAAATCCTTCAAGACATTCAGGCTTGAAGACATTGGCAAAATGACAAAGTAAAAATCAACTATGCCAATTACTAAGTAATTTGGAAGTATTTTGGGTTCTAATATGCATGATATCGTTCTAAACAAGGATCATTAAGTGAAGAGACTACCGCCAATCAGGTATATAAATGGGTAGCTTGAAGAAAATTTTGAACTTGAACACATATTCAAAGAAATGTGTAACAAGGATGAGTAGAAATTTAGAAATCCTCTGCTACATATTGACAACATTAGAACTTTCTTAAAATACAGATATGATGACTAGTTAACAGAAAAAATACTCTAAGGATTTGGATTTAATAGTGTCATGCGATTTTCCAATTACGTTGAGAAACTGAATAAATTCTTGTTGACAGACATGTCAGCAAAAATAAAATTCTGCTTCGAACTTTATGATTAGAACTCAGATGAAAAGATTTGCTTAGTTGATTTGTATTGAGCTCTTAAAGGTCTTAGTGAAGAAGATTACTTTATGAAAATAGACATTGCACAAATAAGTTGAGCAATTCAAGACAAGTAAAGAGAGAAACAGAGGATGGATCAAAATGAAAGAGAAAAGCTATAAATGATGATGAAAAATCATGAGAGAATTGAATAATGGAAAAATAAGCTCTAAGATCTGAGAGAAAAGCTAAAATCTAAAAAATTCAAATCAAGAGAATCTATTCGAAGAAATCTGAATTATTCTACTTTGGAATAAAATAAAACAATGAACAATCCATATGTTTAGGATAATCAATATCAATTTACTTAGGCATCTGTAATGCTACTAGATACTTAGAATAGATCTCTGTCTTAATTAAGAAGAAACAATAATTTAACCTCAAGCAAAGCTAATTCAATTTAACATTAAAATTCAGATCTAAGCTTGAGGTAAATAAACAACTCTAGAGTTGAATTCACAACATTTGTGATAAATTCAGTTAAAAAGAAAAACGAAGACATTATTAATTTATCATCTTTCGCAAAAAATGATAGTTTTGAGGCTGATACTTCCAGCTTGCCAGGTTTAAATGAAAATTGTTAAAGTTAATAAGAATTGGAAGCTGAAAATGAAGAGTTTATATTTGATGAGAGTAAAATAAAGAAATTCAATCTGGAAAATGCTTTTGATTAGTTTACAAGTTGAGTCAGACTTACGACAGACTCCAATGATTACATTGTTTTCAATGAATTTCAGAATCTAGTTTTCTAGAGAGAAGGCTATCCTGAAATTTTACATGACATTCTAATGTACTTGGCAAATTATAGAATTTTGAAGGGTTGCTACTCAATAGATAATAAACACTAAAATAAAAATGGTTTACTTAATAAAATGAATAGGAAATTAAAAGCCTTGAATTCTATTGGGCACATTCAAAATATTATGATAAATGATAGATAGATGAGTAAATGTGAAGACCCTGAATTGCAAGTCTATTATAGCAATCTGTCTAAATAGATTAAAAGAGCTCCTCTTGATCCAATGCTAATTAAAACAAGAAAGTCAAAATTAGAGATGTTTGAAGAAGCATTTAAGGTTAAATTGTAAACATACAAATGATTCGAAATTAAAGGAGATTAGAAATGAGTATAAAATGTAATACTTAGTATGAAACAAAGATTAAATAAGAGGAGTGAAAAATATCATTACCTTGAGATTATAGCAAAGTATAATGAAACTTTAAGTTCTTAATAAAGATTAATTTAATTTGTTATTGTTAGTTTTAAATAATTTAAAGAGTATATTATTATCAAAATAATATGAACAAATACGAAATTATTGGCATCGTAGGTGAAGGTGCATATGGTATAGTTTACAAAGCTAAAAATAAGGAGACCGGTGAAATAGGTATATCTTAATTATTAATTGATTTATACTACTTGTAGTTGCTATTAAAAAGTTTAAGGAATCGGATGAAGATGAGATCGTCAAAAAAACAACTTTTAGAGAGGTAAAAATGCTAAGAATGCTCAAACAAGAAAATATAGTGCAACTTAAAGAAGCATTCAAAAGGTAAGATAATACTTTAAAGTTATTCAGTTTTCTAAATTGATAATTTTAGGAAATAGCGTCTCTACTTGGTCTTTGAATACATGGAGAAAAATTTGCTTGAGGTGCTAGAGGAAAGACCCAATGGACTCGATGCTGAAGCTGTGCGAAAATATATTTATCAGTTATTGAAAGCTATAGAATTTTGTCACAGAAATAATGTTATCCATAGAGATATAAAACCTGAAAATCTGCTGATTAATCCGTAAAAATATCATAGAATTTGAACTGTTATTATATAGTCAAACAAATGATCTTAGAATATGTGATTTTGGTTTTGCAAGGGTTTTGAATAATAAACAAGGCAACTTAACTGATTATGTGGCAACTAGGTGGTATAGAGCTCCTGAGTTATTACTTAGTGCTAATTATGGGAAAGAGGTAGATATTTGGGCTATCGGGTGTATACTAGGAGAGTTGACTGATGGAGAACCTTTATTTCCAGGTGAATCTGAAGTTGATCAACTTTTCTGTATTCAAAAGGTATTATAAATATAATTTTGAATTTCTATTTAGATTCTTGGACCACTCACTTAATTATAACAAGAGGAATTTAAGACAAATCCAAGATTCATTGGGTATAAATTCCCTGACTCAATTACTAAACCTGAAACTCTTGATAGAAGATATGTTGGAAAACTGTCAAAGAAAGCATTAGCAATCATGAAAGCTATGCTAGAAATGGAACCAACTGAAAGAATGACAGCTTTGGAAGCACTTGCAGATCCATATTTTGATGGACTAAGAGATTAAGAAGTAGAAGCTCTTTTGAGACAAAACAATGTGAGAAACGGAGGAACTGCAAGTTAAACTCAGATAAGGCAAGAATCATCGAAATCTAGGAGCTCAATGAGATCAAATACTGTTGAAAGAGATGGAAATTAAGCTTTGGGGAAGACTAAGACTTAGTATGGATCTAAGTTTGCAAATACAGCAGCTACTAATTCGCAGTCATAGTAGCAGAAGCCTTCACCAACCTAAGTAAATAACAAATTTATTGGGGGCTCTTAAACAACTAATAACTCCTTGACTTAACAGAAAAATGAACCAAAGATAATAAAAAATCAAGCTGCTAACAATGCAAATCAAACGAATTAAAAGGGGAAAGCACCTGGTAATAGCTAATTGAGTAACTAAAGCAAGACAGCCTAAAATTCAAACTAACCAAGCTTTAATGATGGCAAATAGAATAACAATTTCGTTCCATCTTCTAATCTTTCAACATTCTTGCTTAGCAAGGGATCAAGTGGAAGTCTCGGAACTTTTGAAAACGAATATTCATATAGGATAAATTTGGATAATATTGGTGGTACAAGCAATAATCCTACTCTTTAAATGATGAATTCACAGATTTCAGCTACAAAGCCTATCTAATTCACAAAGAAGTCGAAGGGTAGTCAAAATATTAATAATGGAGTTGGTGGCTAAATTTTCTCAGAAGTTATAATAGAGGATGAAGATGAGAATTGGAACGATAATCAGAATACTTCAAATTAAGCATTCACTAGTCATAACACATTTCAGAGCTATGGAAATCCTTATCATTAATAGGCTATTCAAAATGGCATACCAAGTATTAAAAAGTCACAGAACTTTGATAATATTCAGCCCCTCATGGTGAACCAAAATAACTCGAAAGACAACTCAATTTCACCACAGATAAAGTAAAATATTTATAAAATTATTGTAACTCAATTTTAGTGCTGGAAATAATAAAATGAAGCAAATTACTACTATGAATAATTAAGGGATGATGAAGTAATAAGCATAGATTAAGAAGAAGTCTGGCATGCAACCTTTAGTTGGTAAAATTATAGCTTAGTTCAATACTTATTTATAGATGCAGGTGATACAGGTGGTGAGAATACAGGATTGTTAAGCTCAGGAATGATTGCTGTATCAGAGGATCAGTCTAACATCTATGATAAATTCAGTCCTAAAGTAAGAATATTACTGCATAATTCTTTATTTAGAGTACTAATTAGTTTAATGCACTTCAATAAAAATTAAAAAAGAAAAATAACATGGGAGTTCAAGGGACTTAAGGCATGCCATAATTGGGTAATAAGAATGCTAAGAGTGTTTACCAAAATGAAGAATAAAATGCTTATACCATGAATATGCAGTAATGATCAATTCTAATTAATAAATCAATTCAATAGGTATCATCCACTCTAAAATGCATAAGCAGCTTAAGGTATTAGATTAAACAGTAAGTCCCCAGGAAGAGGCAATCTAGCCCCCATGAATTATTAGAAAGTTTCTCAGTTGTCTAATCACCAACCATAAAATGAAAACTACAACTATAGCATTCCATCAGACACCTTTTACCCTATGATGAATATGAATTCTAACAACTTTAATTCAGCTCAGAGTAACAATATGATTGGCAACCAAAATTATTGAGAGTTCTTTCATTACCTACCTTAAATTCATGTAGGCTGTTGTAAATAGTATTCTTTAAGTATCCCCTTAATGAATATATTAACAAGCAACAAACTTAAGCAAGTTATCTTTCATTTCAAGCATATTAATTTTTCCATCTAAGCTTATAAATTCAGATAATATTGCTTACAATACTTATAAATATATATTAACATTAAAGTCTTGAATTACTTAATTAATGAGCAATTATATTTCAAGTTCATTGCTTGAACTGCCCTAAAACAACTTAACTGATTCACAATTTTTTGCTTTCTTCCCTTAGCTTTCTAATTTTGCTCAATTCACTTTTCTCAATGAGTTTCTTAATAGCTTTATTGAGCTTTTCATTCATTTATTTATTGCTTTCTTCAACTTCTTCAATTTTGTCCTAGTGCATTACAACAAAAGGTGTGAACCCACCTATATCTTCTACCTCCTCCCCATTTTTTTTGAAACTCCAAATCTTAAATAACTTTTACTTCATGATTTATTTAAGAAATTCCATTTATTCTTCATCAAGCTCATAAGGGCATTCATCATTTTTAATTGTGGTCAAAATTATTTATCTTTTCTTATAATCCAGATAATTTTCAAAAAATAGTCCAAATAAGCATAACATCAAGCAATACTTCTGAGATTTATTTCTTATAGATGACATCTGATCATTCATATTTTGCCCTAGAAATTAAAGACATATTTATTTTACTGAAGTATTTATGCATCACCTTATAAATTATCATACTGCTCAAAGAATAATCAATAAAAGAATTATGATAGATTTAGTTCATCTCGAAGTAAGTGTATAATGCTTCATTTAGGCCTAAATATTTACATTGAAATGTATGGATTACAAAAGAAGGTCAATGAAGTGATTAATGAACCTTTGAACCAATTAAATCTAAACTTTTACCCCATTTTTCGCTGATCAAGTTTGAACAATATCTCACTAGCATTTACTCCAATAGTTGCTATTTATAAGTTCTGTGATGATTAATGTATAAATGAGCTTGAATGTATTCTTACTGCATATGATAGTCCCTGTTATAATTCAATAAGGAGCAGAATTTCGAAATGGAAAACATTTTCCTAAGTTTTCTTTATAATTTTGTAATTATATATTTAGGGAAGCTTTCTATTCCATTTTAAATCTAAAATTAAAAATTATTTATTGATCTTGTAGAGTTGTTAAAATTAAATGTAGAAAGCATTAAGACCTCCCTTCACAATGCTACAGACTCCAGTTCTTTAGTAATCTCATCATAACAATAATTCTAGCAGTATAAATCGCATGCAGCACTCTTAAAGCGCTATCTAATTAGCAAATGGAGAATATCATACATAATAAAACCATAGAAGCAGGTTGTCTATGGATCACAAGTCAGGTGCATCTTCAATTATTGAGAAAGAATTCTCATTTGCTAATACTTAATTTGATAATTATGGTACAAATCCAGGTTAAAATGGAGCAGGGAACTAAATAGAGCAATAGTAATTAAGCTCTAAACGAGTAGAAACATCTCCAGGGTAAAAAAGCAAATAAAAAGGGGAAAATAAAAAGTTATCAGCCAGATCTAGGATGTTTGAGGGATAAATGTCTGCTAGAATGAATAGATCACCTGATAAAACCTCTCATTTGAATAAAGTGTATAATTCACCTAAAAATGAGAAAGCTGCATAGCCCTCAAACAAAATTAACTTTATTTCTTAGCCAAGCAAAATAGGTTCAAGAAGAATCACCTAGAGTAGAGTTTAATCCTCACTAAACTTAGAAAACTCCTCACAAGCTAATTTATCAGGAATAAGCAATGTATTGAGCTCGCACTAAACTAGTGGTTCAAATATAATTGAGCGCACAAGTGGTACAAAATCTTCATGCCGCTAAGTTTATGTAAATCTTAAGAATTAAACATCTCTTCAAGCATAATCATAATATCAAAGTCAATAACATTCGAATTCATCAACTTAGAGATCGTTGAATAATAAAATGTTTAAGACAGCAAGGGATTAGGCTATGGCTTAGATTAAAAAGCCTACAACTCATGAGAATGACATCAATAGAAGTCATTTTAGCGGCTCATAATAATCTGCATAGGATAAAAATATATCTTCGACAAGATTCCCTATAAAATCCCCTCGACCCTTCTTAGCAAACTCTGCTCTAATGTCTCCAAAAGCTGCAACTCATTAGAACAGATAGAGTCATATTAGCATGAGAAATTAAGGATCATAAAATAAAAGTTAATTAATATCTCAAGAATCAGAGAAAAAAATACTCAATTAAAGCTTAGTCTAGAATTAACCTTAATTAGATGAAAATATTATAATCAGTAGTAACAACTACTAATTTAATATAAATACAAGAAATAACTAAGTTGAGTCAGTTGAAAAAGAAAACACTCTATCCGAGATGAAATCATTCGAAAATATTAGAGATTCCATGATGTTCTCAATGGCACAAAATTAGAGAATTAAAGAAGAGGATACATAGAATATTTGTTTAAAGGAAAAATATGAAATGGGCGACTTAATAAATATCAGTAAGATCCATAACGATGGTGAAGAAAGTGTATTCTTGAAACTTGAAGAGTCTACTCTGAACTGTAACTATAATATCTGCTCAAGCAATGTATCTCATATTAATAACATCCAAAATCATGTATATAGTGGCTATCATGATGAATATAGCTAGATGCATCAATCAAATTTAAGCATTAATCAAGGTCATGGATCTACAAAACAAAGAAGAAAAAGAAAAGAAAGGTTAGGCTAAGATGCCCTAAATAATGTTTTAACTACACAGAGTGACAAAGAAGGCACTCAAGAATTTAAATTAAAATAAAGTGATAATTTCTACAATGATGATTGTGTGTCTGGTAGTGATAACAGAGTATTTACTAATTTCTCATCAAATAATGAGGTAGATACCAATGAGGAAAGTCCAGCTGATAATTCTCTCAATACAACCTAAGAGATACCTTTACCTTAATAAGCCCCTCCAAAACCTGAACCTATAACCCAAAATCTGGAAAATAATCGGGACATAACTCTTGTAAAAAAATGTAGTCAAAACTCAACTGTAAAAAAGGGTAATGTAATCCTAGATGAATCTCAATTTAGTAAAAGTTCTTCTTAACGAGATAATTCTTAATCTTCTATTCTTAAAACACCAAGATTGATAAATAAGAGTAATCAATATAGGCAAAAGAATCTTTCAACATAAACTAAATAGCAAATGCCAAATCAAAAGCAATCTTTTACTAATTCTCCTAAGCTTAGTTCTGCTATTAAGAATACAACAATCACAATCATTAACAGTAATAACAATATGCCATTGCAATTGACTAATATAATTAATTAAGGAAAGGAAAAAATTGTAAAGAAAAAAGAAATCTGCATGAGAGATCTTGATGAAACTGAAACCTATTTGAGGTTGGAGGAGCAAGTTAGAGATTAAATCAAGAAATAATAGCTAGAAAAGCAGGAGTCATAAACTAGTTTTACTAGAGACTCAATTAATTCGAGCGCAAATAAAATAGAAAAAACTAAGAGAACTGTCCCTGCAAGATAAAAGACTCCAGTAAAGCAAATTTCATTAGTTACATCACCATCATCAAATAGATTAAAGAGGAACAGCACTAATTTTATGAATCTCTCTTCAAGATAAGATAGTTTAAATCTCAAAGCAATAAGACAGCTAGAGAATACGGCTGCCACAAAAATACAGAGATTTATAAGAAGAAGAAATAGTAGAGTGATTAGGCCATTAAGAGAGGGTAAGAATACACAAGTTCAAACTGAGATCTAAAAATTATCAGTCGATTAAGCAAAAAGCAAAATTATGTATGCGTGGATCTTAATGAATATGGCTTCTGCCATTCATAAATAGAAACAACAAAGAAATCAATAACTCTCAGATACTATATCTATCTCTACATTTAGATCGAAGAGTAATAGAAGGAAATACTACAGAGGTGATGGAAACAAGGGTATTTATGAGTCAATAGATTGTAGGAGTTAAGAAGATTATGTAAAGAGACTTGAACAGGAGTTATATGCTTCCTTAATGAACAGCATTTAAAACAATGACAATGATAAGCTTAGACTAGATAAGTGACAGGTTGCTTCATGACGGAAATATTTTATGCATGCTTATTACTTTTAAGTTTGAATTTTAGTAGATTATAAAATTATATTCCACTGATCATTCAAATTTCCAGTGAAAGGGGTTTTGGGGTTTTGGGGAGATCGGAAGAGCACACGTCTGAAC